TCGGGTAATCTTCAAAGCGGCTAGACCGATTTTGATAATATTTTACTACCATTTTGCTGTATATTTAAGGAGTTACTTAGGCCAGTTTTCCTCTCAAAAAACCCTATAAAATTTTGACCGATTCGGGAATGTTCATGCGAACGAAGTCGCGAGTGTCAGCTAATATACAATAATTTGCTTTTATGGTAAGGAAATCTTGAAATGTTTAGATAACATGAATTGGCATTAATTTTGGGTATGTTATTGCAGTCTGGAATGTACTCGTATTAACATATTATTCCTTTCTACGGAGAGGCCTATGTCCAGCAGTGGATTAATAAGGCTGTCGATGATGATGTTGATGAACATATTATTCCTGGTTAGTCATACATATAACAGGTTTTCTGTGTCATCCTTTGTTAGGTAGTCTTAACTATGAGGCTTGCATTTAACAATTATGTCTGACAGACGTTAATTGAAGCTGTCGGGAATAACTTATCTTCATATAATTTATTACCTTGTGGTGATGTATTACGCATCTGAATTATTTTTTTAATATAACTTTTATTAATTCATCTCTGTGGTTATAATTTTTGCCAAAAGTTTTAATTTATAAAACTACTTATTTTATCCTACAGTTTCTCTAATGGAGAATATTTTTCTATTATTTAAGATCAGTACTTTTTCTTTGAATAAATCTACTATGTGACTTTTTTTTTTCTTACTCAGCGTAATACTACTTCGAGGAAGAGGCGCTGGTATTCTGCTAACACCAAGTGAACTTCACGGACAGTGAGCTGTCACGTTATCACACTTAAAGAAAAATGTCAAAATAAATTATTTATTTCTACAACTCTGTGTGCATAGGAGCATAATATGGCAAACGCAGTCAATGTGACGGCTTGACGTGTTGGTTATGTGTACGAAAAGTTCTTGATATGTTAAACCAATTCGGACTATAAGTGGATTTATCGAACTGCACGACGACTTTTACATTTTAATAAAATACTACTGGTAAAAGACTTTTTAGACATAACTTAATTGTGCTTACGTCTAAAATACCCATACTTTTATCATTATATTCTATTCAAACTACTACAAAAATTGCATTCTAGAGAGCTTATTATATTTTAGAGAATATTAACAGGCAGAGTTGCAATTGCATATAATATTTGAAAACAAAGTTAAAGTTAAACTACAAAATTGTACCTGACTTTTAAATACAATAAAAATAATAATAAAAATAAATAAAAATAAAAAGAGCCTTTATTCAGACAAAATACTTAGTTTTACATGCACAATTATTATTTCATTTGATTAATTATGTAATATGTTTAAAACAATAGCATTAATACTGATTTAATTACACTATTATATATTATTATATTTACAATAGTTTACTTCATAAATTAATTTCTGAATTAGTTATTGATTATTATTAAGATTATTAATAATAATCATTCATAATAATCGTTTTTGTCTAGACATAGGCCTCCTCCAACTGCCTCCATAGACTCCTGTTTTCAGCTGTTCTGTTCTGTACGTACTTACTATTTATTATATATATTAAGGTATGTATGTATATACAAGAAATGTTCTTAAAGTTATTAGATTACATCTGTGTTAGATAAATCAAAACAATGGTTTATTTCATACATTTCACAGAACCAAAAACATACTTCCTCATGCTATGTATATTTTATTTCCTTTATTTACAAAACACAATTGCGTAATAACGACAATTGTGTATTACTTGACTTAAGACTCACCCGTATCTTATTTGGCCACGTTAACACTGCCTCCACGACTGGTACATAATTAAACTATCTACAAACTACTTCATCACTGCTATCAAAAGTAGTTTCGCGCAGAAACTTCGTGGCAATGATGACACATCTTAATAAGAGTGAAATTGAATTCCACCGACTAACTGGGTAGTCAACATTATCATCTGCTACGTGATTGACATGCTCAAGACAAATTCTAATCAAAACCGTCGTAGTTATAATTGGATCAGGTGATTAGACCATGTCTCACTCATTACCAATTAAATCTTTTCACAGAAATAGCTGTTTAAAATTCGCTGATGCGATTGCCAAGCTCTAAACGTACTGCAATACAGAATTATGTTACTAATTAGTCCAAGGATTATTCAAGAAGGTATCAAAAGTATTACTAAGATAATTTTCTATTTCTAATTTATTTGCTTATATTACCCCCAAACGTAGTATACGTAGTCAATTAAATGCCTTAAATTCCCATGTATAATGAAGCTTTTGCGTTCTGGATATTATCTATTCATGAGTTTCTAAGGAATCTTACACTTTGTATTTAAGTAGTTGTTGCATGTATAATGAGATGCTTCCCCGTTGTTTCAAAGAGAAGTTTCTTAAATATACATATATATATATATATCACAAGTGAATTTATTTTACGCGTATAGACCAACCCGTCTGGCCAGCGTGGTATAGTAGGCCAAAACCTCCTTTCTGAGGTGAGGCCTATGTGCTACAGTGGGCTGCTAAGGCTGTAATGATGTAATGGTATGTCAAGGTACTCCTTGACAGACCATTACATCAACAACAGCAACAAACATGAAACTGATGGGAACGATCGCTCAGTAGAGCGATCGTTCCCATCAGTTTCATGTTTATTAACTAAGAAGACGTGAATAGTAATCTTGATTGTCTTCGACCGGAGTTCCACTCTGGGCTCCATCATCAGACTTTCACTAGCAAGCTTAATTTTAAAAACTCCCCTAAACGAATCCCATACTGGAAAGGTTTACTAGTTGAAGATAAAACAGCGCTGAGGATTTATATTATTGTCATTAACACAGAAATAGTAATTATAAGACTGTCTTATGTCTCATTATTACGATTTCTATGATCATTAAACCACATAGTTTTTTGGATAATTCGATAGGTCAATTAGAGTTAGTTAATAAATAACGGGTGAATCTAATAGGTAAAGATGTGTTATAAATGGAAAGTTTTTGTAAGGAAATGATATTTTGCGTATTTTTGCTGTAGTCTGAATAGGAAATAACGATAAATATCGATATATTAAAAGTAAACAAAATCAATTTAAGTAATGATTTAAAAAGGTAAAAGTTTCTTTAGCAGATTACGGTAGTACTTTTATTAAAATGTTAAATTTATTGTGTATTTCGATAAATCCACTTGTCCATATTGGTTTAACGCATCAAGAGCTTTTCGTACACGTAAGCAAAATGTCAAGCCGTCACGTTATATCGGATGTGTTTTTCTTATGTATGTCCTATACCTATGAATATGTTTACATAAAATTTTAGAAGGAAATAAGACGTCATTCACTTATGCTGGAACATGTGAAGCGTTTAATAGCAAATTCGAATGTATTTTAATGGTATAGTATAAATTTAATATAAAAAAGGAGAGGACGAAACTTAGCCAATCACCGCGATAGTTCATTTTTGTATAACTAATTTATTTAAATGTCTATACTTTGAGAAAACATGATGGAATACGATTTTAGTATATTGTTTTTATTAAAGCAATGGTTTTATATGTCAATTAAATAAGTATATAGCAAGCAACAATATTATTACCAGATTGAAACTACTCAGATCTATTATAGAATTAGATAGCTATTAGCCCACCATTACAGGTAGCATGACAACTAATTAAATTTGCAGCCAAACTAATTAACTTTCCATCCAAACTCTCCATACAACGGCTATAACAGTTTGGAACAGTCAAGGAGAATACTTGTACGGTACCTCTATATCTTTACCTAAGTCGAATAAATGATTGAAATATAATTGTCAAATGGATAAAAGTATGATAAAATAGAAGTATCTGATACCCTATGTGATAAGAACAATAAAAAGTTTATTTACAAGTAACTGCAATTTGATTTCATTGAATCCTCAGTGTGGTCTAATTTAATATTTACATACAATTAATAATAATAGTATTGTAACAATAGTATTCTAATATTAGTTTATTCACACATCTCACACATGGCAGTATAATCTCCAACTAGGCCTGAGGCTGTTCTATGGAGATTGCTGATAAACATACTTAATATAATATTTCTAAATACATACAAAATATAGATGAATTACACCCAGACACAGAACAAATGAACGTGCTCATCACACAATTATTAGTACTGGGTGGGAATCGAAAGCACGACCTCCGGTTTAGCAGCTAGGGGCATTAACAACTAGACCTATAGGCCCGTGACCTATATTGTGATGAGACACAGAGTAATCAAATCATCGTAAAAACGCACCTACCAGGCCATGCATGCTTCACTACATTAACATGAAGGTTTGCAGTATTCTGAAATGGTGCGTGCATGGTGCGTGCTCGTATTTCACATCACATAACATCAACAGCCTTTAATAGTCTACTGCTGGACATAGGCTTCTAAGCCTTCTAGGCCTTAGAAAAGAGGTTTTTTGTCCATTATACCACGCTGGCCAGCCGGGTTGGTATAAGGTTTGTGTCAAGTTGTCCTGCTTAGTTTGCTCCCTTAGTCGCCTCTTACGATACCCACGAGATGAATATGGGACGTGACACTCCGTATTCTTAAACCATCACCACACGGATATTTTATTTCATCAATCATCATCAACAGCCTATACTAGTCCACTGCTGGACATAGGCCTCTCCTTAGAAAGGAGGTTTTGGCCTACTATACCACGCTGGCCAGACGGGTTGGTATAGGGTTTGTTTCAAGTTTTCCTTCTCTTTGCAGTGCTGTTGTGCTTAGTTTGCTCCCTTAGTCGGCTCTTACGACACCCACGGGATGAATTGGGGTGGTGACAATTTGTATTCTTAATCCGTCACCACACGGACGGATATTTTATTTAGTAGCAATAAAATTTGCGCTATAAATTTAAAATTCCGTTCGAAACAAACATTACGCCAAACACAAATGAAAAACTAAAACAATATTGTCTGTGGTTTTTTGCACGTTGGTTTGTAAGCATTTCCTCTGAAGATAATTACACATACTCCACAAATACTTACACACAACAGTGAGTAGATGTTCGTGAGACGCTGCTGTAAAAATTGGTGTTTCTAATGAGACCTCGCACCAGTACGTGCCTGACGCCGATGGGTCCAGGTTGTCTATCGTAATGGAGTTCTCAGTTGACAGCGTCGCCTGTTACAAAATAAACCGTACACTTATAAGGAATACTAATCAGGTTTTTATTAGTTTCTAGATCACTTGATATTACACTTTATGTTTTAGTTGCAATTTGCAATTTACATTAAACTTAAAAACAACCTCGCCTCAATGGTGTTAGGCTATCCGGTATATTTAAACATGAAGTTAAAAAGAGTTTATAATAAAATGAAAAAGGGTAAACGACAATTTTTCCATACATCACATAAAAGAAATAAAAAAGGGCCGCTTGATTCTTTTCTGTTCGTAAACTAGTTCTATTGTCATGGAGATTACATGCCCACCTAATCAACAAAGCTTTACGAACACGGACGTTTGTCTTGAGTATGTTCGTAAATTTTAGAATAGAGTTCTGTAAGTCTTTGAATACCGCAAAGCTTTGCTTTAGGTTTTCTTAGAATAACGCATTGTTCGTAAATTATGACGAATTCGTAAATTATAGAGCAGATGACTTCAAACTATTGTACAGAATGGATATATACATTTTGCACTATATACATAACTCAAAAGATCATAATAATATTGTCTAGCTTTATTTAGCTTATCTCATTTCTTTTTTAAATTAGGCAACATCAAAAATAATTTATAAAAATGTCTTAATATTTTATCTTAATGATAGATTTTATTTTTCTTTAATTCTAATCTAAACGAGAAATATTTTTAAACTTTCTACTCACGTTAAGCCGACCTCCTGCAAATGAATAACTCGTGAATGGTGGGTTCCTCTCTCTCACGTACTGCAATAACTTCGTTCCCGTCCTCAGGAATTCCACTTTGTACAGTAATTGAGGTGGTACTTGGTGCAAGCATCGAAGGGTCGCAGATCCGCCCCGTGCGACCCATGCTGGGGCTACTAAACGGACGTCTACGTCCGTCGCTTGGCCGCTTCCTGCTCGAGGAAATTAAGCATATTATTCTAAGCTTTTATGAAGTTTTAAAGGAGTATACCAAACAAATTTGACGTTAAGATTTTATGGTATGTCCAGTGATATAATCACGAATTCTTTAAGTCTTTTTACAGATTAAATTCAGTCATATCTTTGATAAAAATTTACTCAAACATACTTGTAGATAACAAGTTCACAGTGATATAATTTCGAATTATTTAAATCTTTTTCACTGATTGAATTTAGTCATAATATTATATTAACAACTTGATACAAGTGAAGCCATCTCGTCCCAAAAAATACAGTGTCTGTTCTATGGTAACCAGAGAAGCAATAAATAAACTTACTAATTTCTAAATACATAGTAAAGATCATCAAAGACATCCAAATATATAAAAGTAATGGTACTGAATGATTCTTATTTATCCTGGGTGGAAATTGAACCCACAATCTTTGTCTTAGCAGTCAGGGTCACTCAGCCCTAGACCGGCTGATATCATAAAAAACAATGTCCGCTGCATTAAAACAAATATCACAAAACGTTTTGGAAAATATAATTATAATAGGTTTTTATAACTATTACGAATTTTAATAGAATAAAAATATTTTTTCAAATGACTTCTCTAAAATAGTGACGTCATAAGTTGCTGCAATACATTTTCTATAAACTCAAACTCGTTCTCAATTCAAACAAAAAAAGAAAGTTTCGATAGATGATAAGGAGTAACTAATTGGACTGAGGTGTCACATACCCTATTACTAAATGTGAAGAAAAAATACATAAAACTCTGAGCAGCCGATATTCTAGAGGTCAATTATTGTCGAATAGTCCCCGAAGGTAGGGTAGTAAATAAATTTGTTTTCCACAAAGGACGTCCGTTAGTTTTATCTATTTGAGTCTACTTAAGGCTTACGTTTTCCTCATTTCTAGTTGCCGGGTCGGAACGAAGTTCCTTTCGCTGTTTGGTAGGCGTTTGCTATATATATGAAATATAAAAAAAATGAAAGCGTCGACCTGCCCACTGAAGTGTCTGAAAAAAGTCTTGTTACACATTTTTCGGTCTCCCTCTCATCCGTTTAGAGCATGTATCGCGAGTAAGATTTTAAGAGAAGAAATAAAAATAGTTGCAAAAAACTTATAATATTACAAGAATACTTGCATTTCTTTAAATCTATTGTAGGAATATTTACATACTACTGCATTCTATATCTAATGTTACTTTTTAAATAATAATAGTATTGTCATAACGATAGGTTTTGGATTTCTATTAGGATGTGCGGAATGTAGGTGATCTACGTTTAATAAGAACAAAATGCTTGTCATTCTCAATAAAGATTTTTGCCACAAACACAATTCCCTGTTTGAAAGGAAAGTATTTTCTAAAACAGAACTTGTGTCCTATCTTTTAAGGTGAAAATTGCTGCAGCTTGAAATATTCCACGATTCGCAGTATCATTTTCAAGTAAACTCATGAATATCAGTGTTGTCACGACTTGTTGCGATACAGTTAGGTACTGGGGTTAAATAGCGGCAAATGTCTCGGGGGGCTTGATGTATACAGAGTATACACCCATACGTCCTACCTGAAGAGGGGTGATATCCGGGAGCATGTTTCCGCTGTACGCATCACCGACATCGGACAATGAACGTGTCGTAGGGTTGCTAGATTGTGCAAATTTGATTACGGGGCAACAGTTCGAAGTAGGACACCATGTCACCACGATATCGAAGATTTTGTCTCTTATTTTGATTAACAACAACCATGTATTTGAGTGTTTCTATGTTTTAAACCTCACATGATGTACGACTTTTTTCATAGGGTTAATGAAGTGTTTAACACTGACCACTAATAAAGTTAAACTATTTAAACTCTGAAATTATCCTAAAAGATAGAATTAATAAAAATAAATAAAAGATCACATTAGACCACAGTAGAAATAATATTGCGTGCCTTGGATATCCCAACATATTATTCTCCTCACCGTATTCATCATCCAACAAAAACAATATTACAGGCCTCATAATTTACCTGCGCTTCCTCAGATTATATTTAGGGTCAGCGCACTGTAATATTGCGAAGGGTTCAACTAGTTCTTCCTCGGGAATGTAATCAAATAGCTCGAAGAGATACTAGAATGTGTTCCTGAGACTGAAGTCGCCACTCTGCGTAAGGCATTATAATTAATAACATTTTAATAGAATTTATATTCAAGTCATAATCTCGACAAAAAAATGAATCTTGATCTGAATACAAATAGTTTTCCGTTAACCTAAGTGGGAACCCGCCCATACTTTTAGTCAGGAGGCAGTAAACAAAATGAAAGTGGTAGCGGTCGGAGGGAAAATCTTCGCAATAGTCGTGCTTTGGAAATAGCACAAAATCTAATAGTTCAAACAGTATTCTACATAAGCACAAAACTGTTGTTATATGTAGTTTTGAAGTGCTATTATGGGTACGTTAGGAATATATTTTTTCTAATTTTACTGAGCTCAGTCACATAAATAATTTAATGTTTTTATTTTGTTAACATTCCAATTGGAGTGTATCCCTGGAATATTAATATTAACATAAATAAAGTCTAAGCGAGTTTATAAAATCCTCGCCATCTGACGTTGACACATTTATCACCAACTCCGGGGAAAGAAATCAGACATGGACTTGGAAAACGCGATTTTTTTATAGTTTATAATACACATAATATTAATATATATTTTTTGTGATAATTTTAACTATTCGAAGAACTAATAATACATGAAATTAATTGAGACTGGCTCAAAGATATGAAATTTAACACAATGTAAAAAAAAAACAACGTTGAAGATCGCAAATTAGTATTACCTCCAAATATAAAATTATTTGCCCTGACTGACTGTCTGATTCATCAACACAGAGCGACTGCTGTGCTGAGGTCTTGGGTTTGATTCCCGAGTCGGACCAAATGTTTGTATGATCCGCAAATATTTGTTTTGGAGTTTGGGTGTTTTCTATGTATAATATGTATGTATTTATAAAAAAAAGTGTATAAATATGCTATCAGTCAATCTAGCTTTCATAGTACAAGCTCCACTTAGTTTGAAACAGATGTCCGAAATACCTATTATCATTATTTTACTCAAGGACGATATTATTTCGTTTTAGTTTCGAAGAAAAACGATAAAGCGGTGGTACATATAACGATAAAAACAATCTGCTTTATAACATAATAAGATCATTATTATGTTAGGTACACATTTACACTCCCAGGAGTACCTAGTTACGCAATGCTCAACATGGGCCATGCATCAGGCGTACTCTGGAGTAAAATAATTCTACATCGTATTACGTCTACTGAGACAACACCTTTTCAGCAAGATTCTAAGTTACTTAATACGATTCATATAAGTTAACTATATATATTTAGTAATTACATTTGGTTTCGCATGACCTAGAAAGTTGATAAAACTGAATTAGATTAGAATTACATCTCAAATATTTCAATAGGATAAATATTTACGCACTTTTAGTGTTTCCGACTATTTCAATGCAAAATGTAAATTCATCATTCTGCAATTTAACGGTTAAAGTATGAAATTGTTGTTGTATAGTAATAGATTATTTGAATTCACATAACATCATGGAGGTTTTATGTGAATTCAGATTGAGATTGGTGTGAAATTTTCGTGTGAAACTTTTTTGACATGATACCTGTGAGGTATTTCATTTAAAAATGTGTGACATTCGAATTTTGACTTATAATTGTTGTTTTATTTAGCTTAGACGTTAAAGATGGATATTTCGAAAATCCGAGACATTTTTGATTACGTGATTCGATGCGGCACTAACGCGGCAGAAACGGCTCGCAATATCAACGCTGCGTTTGGAGAGGAGACTGCTAATGAACGCACCGTGCGTTTTTGGTTTAAACGCTTTAGTAATGAAAGCTTCGACTTGAAGAACGAACCACGTGTGGGTTTTCCACCCACACAGGTAAAAACGCTGAATTGAAGAAGATAGTGGATCCGATCCGAGTCAAACTACCCAGGAATTAGCAGTATGGTTTAACTTTAACCTATTTTTTGTAAGGTATCATGATTTGATGTAAATAAAATAGTTAGTATGACTTCATACTGCACGAGAAATCGTTTTAACTCTACAGGAGCTCTACAGTTAGAAACCATACGTTATCCTCCGTACTCGCCAGACCTTGCTCCTACCGATTACTATTTATTCGTGATTTAGACAATTTTCTATGTGATAAAATTCTTCCCTAGAGGCAGTACAAAACGCTTTCACACAGTTTGTCGAATCTAGATCCCCAGAGTTCTATCGTAAAGGCATAAATAAATTTCTTTTTAGATGGCAGAAATTTATAGATAATGAGGGTGAATAGTTTGAATAAATAAATATGTTATATCTTAGAAAAAAACGAGTTTTAATTTTTCAGTACAAAACGGCGACTTTATACTTGAACTCCTAAAATTATGTATAGGTGCTGCTTTCATATTCGTACAGTATTATTTGTTTACCGAAAACAAATCTTAAACGACAACGATCTATAGTGTGTCAGTTCCATTGACGACTGAAACCGTAACATATTTATCTGTTATTTATGGCTTCTCAAGAAAATCAAAATGCTTAGTGTTAAAAAAATTACACAAAATCTGTCACTTCTTCACCTTTACATGAGCTTAGTAAATCGTTAGAAACGAAATATATCAAATAATAGTGAGCTAGAGAGTTGTAAAGCACTAAAAGTTATAAATTGAAGATTTGTGTTAATGTTAACTAAATTTAAAAACTTTGTGTTAAAATACATTAAAATAACTCAATTATTTAAGTAGCACAATACATAAATAAAAATAGTTCAAGTCTAAAGAAAAAAGCCAAACAATACTTATATGTTTATATGGGTAGCTTCTATACTTTAAAAGAACTAAATACTTTCAAGCAAATGTACGTTTAAGGAAAAGTATCGTAAAATCTAAATGGATATCTTGAACGACACCCCAAGATGAAAAGCA